CGAGGTGATACGGCACCCCATCCAAAGGTTCAGCGGAGAATGCGTTTCCATCGTCGGTTTCAATGAATCGTTATATAATGAAACTATGCGACATCTGGGAACACACCCCGATCCTCCAACAGGGTTCACGAAGAACGTGAAACTCCGCAGGAGATCGTCGAAGGATCTCACATAAGGAGCTCTCCGCACCCATCCCTTCGAGCGGAAAGGTTTTCATTGAAGGAGAAACATTAGTTCAGGTCTCCGATGTGCCGATGAGACATGATCTCACGCCTATCGCAGGCCCGGAGCGATAGTCTGCCTCGGCTCCTTTCGAGGGGTTGCTGTCATTCGGAAGAAACTTCAATAGGTAAGTTTGCTCCGACGACTGATCCGCGCGAATGAACGCAGTTCACTCGATGGTTTCGACGTTCACAGGTGCTAACGTACCTCAACCGATCGATGCCACTTGATAAAATGAAGAGAGTCGAGGGTCTTCCTTGGTCCTGAATGAGACGACGAGACTTCTCCTCTCTGTCGTTTCGGGCATTCTGTTGACCAGCTCTGACCGCACGAGCGGAATTATCTACGTCTCCTTAACTGCCGGAGGGAAATTCCCTCGAGGATGCCATCATTTACCCCGATTATGATCATGGATCAGGAATGGGTGTCTGCCTCGGCCCTGTTTGGGGATCTACGGACGGGAAATCGACGACACGCCGCGACCCATATTTACGCCATCGAGTAGAAATTTCGACAATCAACTTTCAAAACCGCCATAGATCGGAGACTGACCTCGCCGCCCTTATGCAGGACCTCTCGCGAACGCAGTCACATTCGAGAACGCGGTAAGGGAAATGTGATTGAATGAAAGGGCTACCTGCTTGTTGGAGAGCGATCGACTCAGCTCGCAGAGCATCGCTACCCACAAATCTTCCGAGGGGCCGTCGAATCGGCCCCCTTCACCCGCCCACCACCACCGGATCTCTCCGAGAAAGGGCTTTCGCACACAGCCAGATGACTCAGGTTGTTGTTTATATTTTCTAGCAAAGAGAGTCGAACGCCCGCACTTCTTATTGCGGAGGACTCTTCATGAGCGAAGTTGGAGAGATTCTCAAAACTGCACAGATTCTTGCGACTATAGTGGGTATCACCAAGCGCAAAACGTCCGATACTGGTCTTTCCTCGACCGGTTCCGTGTCAGAGGCATATGAATGGTGTAAACTCGATCAGTTGGCCACCCGCCGGTGATTGAATATCATTTCCAGAGTACGAACATTCTCATCATTGTTCGGCGAGCTCAGCTTGATTTCCAGTCGGGAATTCAGCCCAGCGAGTTGCTCCTCATCTCTCGAGTTAAACAATTCAGCATCGGTTAACCGGATACAGGAGGAACCGTTTCGAGAGCTTTCCGATTTGAGACGGTACAGCCATCGCTAGTATCTTCGACGTGCAGTGAGCCTGCGTTTGTGAGTATAAGCGTTATCCTTCCAGGGCTCCATTGTCTATTCGGGCCGCTTCCTGCAGAAGATTACATTTCCGTCCGGCCTCGTGCCAGCTCGCCTGTCTGCTCGCTCACAGAGTCAACTGACTGTGAGAGCTTTATGTATCTGTCCTTGGTCCTACGGCCTTTGCTGCACAGCATCATCGGCACTCTCCCACGAATTCAGTGGCGAGTCCTCGTATTGGCCCCTCCGATCCCATACTGCTACTTCCCGATCTTTTCTGGTGAGCCCCGCTTTCGTCTCTCGCTTTCCCCACCGATACCTTCGACTCCACAGTGTAGAGAAGGGAGAATTTAGCGTTGCGGAGAGGGTTTGCGATCGCCAAACTCGGGAGTATGCCGATGTTGATCTGAAGTCGAGAGTTTTTCTTAGCAGCGTCCTGCACAGTTGGAGAGAATATATGAATCACAATCAGCACTCAGGGACGCGTTGGGGTCATAGTGACAAGAAGTCATATGAAGAACGATTTTCAGGGGCGAGCTTTGCTTCTCTAGGTCTCTCCTCCTTTCATTCGATTGTGTGCCTCCTCCTCGTTCCAGACCTGGACCAGCATCGCTGCGGTGAAACACTGCCAGTTTGTTCATATGGGCTCCGAGCCCGGACATCAATGAGACAAATTGATAGCTCCATTGTAAGAGGGAATCATGAAGATTCCCGGATGAGCTCATGTCTGTTAGAGAAATCATGTACATTTCCCATGAACATATACCGGGTGGTCCCTCTCTCGATTCTTCACTACGATTCTCCGTATTCTCTGGAACGCTGAGTATCGAAGGAAAATAGGTGGGGACATCATTCTCGGATGTCAAATCGAAAATAAGGATCAGCAAAGTAAGGGACGCTTCTTCCTCCATAGGGAAAAATCGAGTTTGAGACTTTTCCTCGTAGGCATCATCCCTGATTTCGTTGATAATATGTTCTTCCGACGGGAAATCGAAAAGCCAGGGGGTAATTCATCGCTCTTTTTCCTCTAAACCTCGGCGTTTCCAGTAAAAAATCAAAAAACCGATTTTGGGACCACCCTGTATATACTGACTACTGCCCTTCATCATAAACACATAAACTCATTGCTCGAATCGCGAGAAAGTTCCACCGAGCTTCCTGGGATGAGGGCAACGTCTGTCCGACTCGTTCACGCAACAAAGAAGAACCAGTGCTCGTTGCTTACTGGAGAAAACCTAGCCGCGGGCATTTCGAGTCCTCGCCAAGCATCAGTCTCGGACATTGTTCCTTCGACAGTGGAATTATCCCCTAATATCTGAAGGTGAGACCTGAGACTATCCCGAGCATGAGAGCACGGCGTCAGAGGGCTCATTAGGCGAAATTGCCTTGTTCTGACGTTTCACTCGCAAAAGCGCATCCTGATGCGATCATAGTGAGAGGCCCACTCGATCGCTTCCACCAGATCGGCGAGATTGAGAGCGTAGCACACACGATACCGCGTACTGCAGGCCGGACATTGGAATTTGTTTAGATAGGGGTGTAGATCCTCGAAGCCGAGTCGTCCATGCTCCCATCCTACGGCTGAGTCGGATGCGAACGAAACAGCCCCACTGGGTCGCCGCCCGCTATCATCCTGAATGCGTAACCGAACGAACGGAAGAGGATTTCGCGGTCTACCTCGACTGATCTTCCGCATGGAGATTAGCATTTCCTTCATAAGGGATCTCCAGGAGTTAGTGCGAGCCTTGTGTGTGCGGCTCGTGTCGATAATGGAAACCGAGAATGGCGGGAATTCTCAAGGGACTACATTGATCAATACGGAGGGGAGTTCGATCGAGACATCTCTGTGCAACGCTTTGGTGAGACAGTCGAACCCGCTTATAAGAAAACCGCCTAAAATAGAAAACCGTATATAAGGGACCGATCCCGATTCCTCGTTTTTTTTCTCCATGGGGCTTCATGTTAAGAACCTCGTTCGCAAGAATTTCGGATATAAGAGAAAACCGGATATGAGAGACCATTCCGCAACCCCGGCTCCATGGAGTCCCATGTCGGAGACCTCTTATTTCTGGTTAGCCTTTCCATGACTTCACTCCCTCTAAAAAGCTGCCCGAATAAGATATGGTTCTGATGAACTTCCGTCATAAATCAGAATTCGCTCTTAAACGATCGTCTCTGCGCTGAATCATGGTATGGGCATCCGAGTCATACGACAACGGGACTTCTCAGGTTTTTCCATGGAAAACCCGTACCTCGAATATTGAGAAACCGGATATAAGAGGCCATTTTCGATTCTCCGAGAGGTCTCTTATAAGCGGGTTCGACTGTATGAAGGTCCGGATTTGACTCAAACACATGTGATCTCGGATTTCGACGAAACTCTCCCGGAGGCGCAATGCCACCTACTGCTGGAAAGCTTCCATGTAGTTTTGCTAAACTTCCATGGATCGGGATAATGGCAAATAGAATACACTCATGCCAGAATACTGCGGAACGCTTGCATCAGATAGTTGGCTTCAAGCCCATTAGCCCGCATACCCACGAGCCTGGATACCTGATAGCCTGACTGCTGGACTCGACCACCCTCTTGCAGAAAGACCCGCTTAATTGGAGTCGAAGTTGTCGAATGGAAACATGCTCTGGTGACCCGCGCGCTTGTGCAGAACTAGCGACTCGACAAACGATGATCACAACACGCCCAAAGTCGGGAAATACAAATTCTCCGCTGGCTCCGTGGCTTCTCCCCATCGGAAACGAGAGTGAAACGCCTCTCGACAACCAGGACTTCCTCTTGTACTCCCTCAATTGAGTTTTACGCGGGAAACACCTGCGACAAGGTTCGCTCCCTCATTAATGTAAGCGATGAATGTATCGGTCTATCCTCGAGCTTTCTTCTCGGACTGTGCATTCGGGGGGATTACTTGATACACCGCTGGAAACTGCTTCCACGAGAGGCCGGAAAGCCCCCGATAGTGAGGAGGAATCTAATTACCGGCATATAGGTAGAATCTGATTGACCCTCAGATATGAAAACGGCATACTGCATCGAAATGAATTCCGATTCAGCGACCATTTCGAAGGGGATCGTAGATTTCTGCACTTGGGCACCCTCACAAAGCACGCCTCGGCACGGAATTCTCTCGATATCAATCATCGATCTATATGCCTGCGCATGTATCTACGTACAAACCTGCATACGACCTGTGTGAAAACAAAGGCAGAAGCCAGACCGCTCATTTATTCTTCGACGCAAATTTCTAATGTATGTACAGTTGACCATGAGTCCACCGGTACAATCGAGAAACAATGGCGAGTTTCTTGTAAAGGTAGGTAGCTCGCTTGACAGGTCGACTCAGTTCTCAATAACGCGGTCCGCCGGGGAGCGTCGGGAGCAATACAGAAATTTAAGTGTGAGGAGTGGATGTTCCACAATACAGTGTGATCCGCGAATGGCATGCTCGCTCGTAAGCTCCTATATACAGTAATACAGGCTCCTCCTCGTCACCGTTCCAAACGGTTCCAAGTTCCAACGCAACGCATTCTCCTTGTGCTACAGCAGTTCGATTTTGCGATCTAATGAATGCATTTGTTCCTTTTTAGAGCACTGTAAGTCCGTAGTACCCAGAACAAGTATGCAGCGATACACGAGGAGCACACAGAAAATAGTGCGAGGAGTCCGAGACAGGCGGTAACCGAGACTGCGGGGAAACATACCGTCCCATATACAATGTCGATATGCTGACGAGCATCGTAGACGATCATGGCTTCGTCAGCACTGATGTTGGGCTTGAATGCGAGGTCCTGAACCGCGACAACTCGGAAAGAACCTCGGACTCCGAAATCGTCAATATCTCGGCGGATTCTTGAGTTCCGAGTGCCGAGGGGAAGTTTCCAGTAATTGCCTGGCTCCGCATTACCGCCCTGGGGTTGATGCCGGACCGCAGAGAAGCGTTTCGTAGTTTCTTTCATTGATTGATCATGGGATCCTTCCGATCTCTCGTAGGAATTTTCTGTCGACTCTAGAGATGCGGGATCGTCTTCGTCAGACGCGTTGACTCCTTCTGTTGGGATATAGACCGGAGCAGGGTCATTATTCGATGATTGCGAGAGAGGGTCTTTCTTCGATGCCGAGTGTTTGACTGTTAGAGGAGATTCCCTATGTTTCGCTTGCATCGTGCCTGGGCGCTGTGACGGGGGTGGAGGTATGAAGAAGGGATGATGCACAGATCTCGGGGGCAACGAGATAGGCACAAAATTCGGTCGTTGCGTAGAGGTGATTGAAACCCGTGTCACGCTTTTCGGCAGTGGTAGAGGTTTCTTGTCGATGATGTTATTCGAAGATACAGCTTGATGATCGACGACCGAAACATGTGGTGGATGGGAATCCTGCGAATGGCAATCCTTCGGACAGCCATTTCGACAGATCTCTACAACGCACTGCATTTGAACCTCGATTGTGTCAGGGAACTTGAACGCGTAGAAATGCGAGTAGCTGGGGGCAAAGGGTAACACGGTTATAGCCTTTTTGAGCCGCATGCGAACGTCATATATATGAACGATACTCCGCCATTTGTTCTGAAATTCCTCACCTGACGATGCTGGCCCGACCACCTTGCGTATCTTTAACCTTCAGGAATGGCGTTAACATCTTTGGTCGAAGAACGCATCCGTCCTCGTCCGTCAAATGTAGAGGAGGCCTCACCCCATCGTGCGCCCAGCATGATTTCACTCTCATGTCAAACTCGTTATTATCATCGGCTATTGCAACCACCATAGTCAGAGGAGATCCAAGAGGAACAATCGAAGAAACTTGTCTCGCCCAAGGTCCCTTCCCCTCCTGGATTTCCATCCAGCAGCCAATGTTATCCCCTGTATTCCAATAAGGACGGATTAGCCGGACGACTCTCTAATCGCCGAGTATGCATATATCGCGACGTTTTGACAGGGTTTGCTACGAACCTTGAAAATTCAACTCTTGAACCTCAAGGTCGGCGAGTTGAATACTCGGGGATTTGAGAGCCGATTTTTCGTAGGCGTCATGCCATTCACATCTGAGTCGTTTAGCCTCGTCCCACGCTTCGATTACATCTTGGCCGTATTGGATGACGATCGTGTTCTCATAGAAGCTCCCTGCATGATCTGGCTGTGAGAGAGTCCATCCCGAGGTTAGGCACTGCTCATCCTCAAATCCTTCCACCTAACGATTTGTCGACCGCATTCTCGGGCAGTCTTCCGCAGCGCTTTTTGTGCGAAAAGCAACGGGGATCACGGTCGAGCGGGACTCTAGGAATCGGGGAGAGCTGTACCGTGCTTCTCGCTTACCTTGGTCCCGCACTTATCGTAGAATACATCGAAGTCGACACCCCCGATAATGCTAGATCCAGATTTGATGTAAACACAATCAGGATGCCCATGATATCCTTTCGAGAAAACCAAGCCCTGGAATCGCAATACCAAGACTGAGAAACGATAATTTGCAAGGCGATACAAATGAACCATTCGAATAGCCATGGTGAATCAATCGCCGACTTTTCGTTTTCGGCGCGACCAACCTGGAAGGCCTGAGGACCGAAATCCAGATGGACTCGCATGTGTCGTTTACCGCAAGCAACCTGGACGTCTTGGAGTCTGGCTTCTGGTTGAACGATGTTTGTCAGCGCGTTGTCCCATTGAGTATCCTGCAAGGCACCAGGATCGGAATCGTCCCGACAATCATTGTGCAAAGCCGGGAAGATACAATCTGAATGATCTGGAGACGGAGTGGATTGTTCGAAGAACTCACTTTTACAGCATGGACCACTATCAGGATGTGTAGCAATGAAAGCAGTATTCCGTATGCGTGCTTCCCTCGCCGGTGAATCTGAGGTGGAAAGAGAGCAATATAATCATTGGTCCACAGAATGCGTGGTATCTTCCTAAGCCCTGACAATATTTCAATACAAGATGATGTATCTCGGGATCCCGACGGACATCGACTCCTCCAACGATGATACTAGATAGAGTTCTGACGTACAAATCCGAGATTCATATGATATGCTCTCGGCCGACGTCTTCTGGAGTGCGCAGGAAGCATGGTTCGGCTCAGGTCCTGAGCCCTAGATCCGACCAACCGAATATTCGCTGCTTGAATTGAGCGATCTACCGCAGTTTAGTTCACGATATTCGGTTGTATCTCAAAATCTTTAAGTCGCGCTCGATAGCTCGAAATCGAATGAGGTACTTGAACGATTCGCGCCCACTTAGCTCGTTCAGGCTTGGAATCATCATTAGGACATCTCGACGATTCTTCTTTCGAGTTTATTTCTCCGTCTCCCATTTCAGTGAAAATGTTGCCGTCGCTTGAGGCCACCTCGTGCTTTGGAACCTGTAAGCGGATCCGGTGGGCAAATAGGAAAATAATCAGAATGCTACACAGGAAAAGAGCTCGCACGCTTATCGTGGCGAAAGAGACCGAGGGAAAAGTTGACCACTACCGCTTTCGGGATCTTGCTCTTATGCGTATAGCGTAAGCATGATCATTCGATCAGGTTCAACGTCACGATCCGCGCAAGTCTCGTCTTGGCCTCCCAACGGATCCAGATCGGCGCAAGTTTCTCGAAACTATCGCGGCCGCCTACGGCGGAATTCGCTTCACAAATACATCGGAAATTTCACGGATATACAGCAAAACCCCTCCAACCGGAGCTCGCGCGGTGCCATTGAAGGTCTGTCCGATACGTCAGATTGTCCGCTTGGTCGCCCAGGATATCACCGGCCTTCATGACGATCGGTTCGCGGGGAAAACCGTCCGAGGAGTCAAGAGGTTTCCTCGTCCGGAGGTCTCATTAGTGTGATTTCACTGTATAATACATCTGCAGGTACATGAAAATGTGTTTCATGTGTTCTCCGGAGCCGTTGAGCACCTGCGACCGCGGATCCGAGATCCACGGATTCCGATCCCGTTTCTGGAGGAAACAGCCTCTCGGTGACGGACTTCTCTGCGAAACACTCCCACTCGAGATGACTGTCGCTGAATACTCCCCAAATCATTCTTCCTCGACGTATGGCCCACGAAAGCAGCCTTATTCCGTCGACTAGACGGAAGCAGGGAGGGGAAGGAGGGTGCCTGAAGACCACCGATCGACATCGAAGGAACATCTGATGGCCCTTCGGCCCAACTGATGCGATTTTGCTCCTCTGAGCTCTCACGCCTTTCGATGTTGGACTTTTTCCGTCAAGTAGCGTAACTTCGCTTTCGCTCCGAGGGCCTTTAAGCTCAGTGTTCGCTTAGACAAACGCAAAAAGGATTAGTCAGAGCGAACTCGACTTCTTTCGGAACTATTTCAGCTGAGACTTGGCTTTGCCTCTACGGCTTCGTCCGATTTTGAAGTTCTCGAACTCTCGAGTTTCGCTGGAGGCGCTCGTCCACCCTTAACGAGATCGGGTGTGACCTGTCAGCAAGTCGCTCAAGGCCTAAAAGCCCCCGTCGGATCTAGCCATAGATAGAGAGGCAGGACTCACCGCGCATGGGCGCGAAAATCCGCAGCTCTCCGCAAGTTTCTGGAATTGAGCCCAGACGCGCAGCCTGCGAAATTCGGCGGGTATCTCCGTTTACCGCAGGATCTCGATCGATGCGTAAGATCGTGGCGTCTGAACCGGATGAGGGATGCTCGAACTCGCTCTAACTCGCGAGCCGGTTCGACATGCAGTCGCCAAAACCTGATTTAGATCCTACACAATGGGAGCTCCGCTGAGTCTGGGCCTCGCCACAGACTCTCACCTATCAGGGAAGGATCCGTCCCGGCATTGGGATGAGATTAAGGGTTTGGGGTCATGATGACACCTTCTGCTCAGCCGGGCAGTTTCCTCTCGAAGGGTGGACACGTACGCGGACCGTCGTCGACAGGCTCCTGGCGAAGTCAACTTTCGAGCTGACAACACTGAGCACCGTTTTTGCGCCCGTGCGCGGATTGCAAAGAAACCGGATAACTCCTGAAAGTACCTTTGGCAGAATGTTTCGGTCGAACCGGAGGGACCCTCAGCAGACAGGAAAGAGGATTTTGGTAGGAGCGCTCAGCGCTCCGGAACGCTGGTACCTATCGCGAAGCCGTTGCTTTCTGTAAGGCAAGCCTCGATCACGCCAGCCATCATCAGCGGAGTCAGGATCATTTCCAAACATCTCGCACTGTCGACAGAGATTCGATACGATGGCGTTGGGGGTTTGCTCGAGCTATATAGTAGCTCCCACTTGAGTGTTCACGACACAAGCCGATCTCCGATTAGGTGATGAAATGTCCCAAAGTTCAGGTCGACCAGAAACATTCATCCATTGGAGCTTGCTCGAGTACAGACAAAACATCGAGGGAGCGCAACTCCCGAGTATTCTTTAGCTGGTTTTTGATATCAGCCCTCTAGTTCAGCCATATTCTACGCCGAAACCCGGGCGATCGATATAGGGGAGAAGATCAGAATGAGCGCATATATGGGCGTCGAGTTCGTATCATTGATATCCCGGGCAGTCTCGACGATCCGCTCCGCTAGTTGTCGTTCCGAGGAAGCATGCCTCGAGGAGACTTTCCAACCTGACGTCATTCTGACAAGTGTAGCTGGCCGCAAAGAAAAACGAGAAAGTTTCCCTCGCCGCCTCCACCATCAGGCAAGGGGACTGCCACATTAGTTCGATTCTCTCCTTTTGTATGTTCTGGTGGCCTAGTGGCCTTCGAACCCTGCATCGCACGAAGTGTTCGGTCTGTTCCCGTGGTCGCTCGCACCGCCGACTCCGAACAAGAACATATCTCTTTGTTGTCCAGCAAATAGGATACGCATCTAGCGAAGAGAGCTCACTATGAAGCGCTTGATATTCGCCCGTGCCTCATGTCGACTTCAATTGTTTCAAACTTGTCGGTGCACTCCTCGCTGAGTGCCATGCTCATTCAACCGCCCTGGGTGATTGCAGAGTCTGGCATCCCGTAATTTTTTCTCTGCGGGTTCCTATTTTCTCGCGCCGAAACGGAGTATGTTACTACGCATTCCATGGGATCTGATGCTCTCAGATTTCCGGACCTTCAGATTCAAGCTTCTCCCGAAAAAAGACGCTGGACAAGCGTAGATAGTAGCTCCCAGAGGTCAAACTCCTCCTCAATCAGGGAACGAACGGTAGGTGAATCCCCCCAGTTCAGTGCTCCAGCGCTCTGCCGGTGGATGATCGATCTTGGAGCAATTCGGAGAGCCTCCGCGTGCAGCGACTCATTTCCCCTCCAAAGTTGAAGATTCATTTATTTTCACGCATGAGTTGGAAACCGCGGGGACGCTCGCTGTTAAGTCCATTCCAACTTGGTGAAGTGCTTCGTGGGAGTCCGCTTGTCACCGGTGGCGGATCTGGCTAGACAGGAGCTTAGTAGGTCACCGGTGCCAGTCGAAGACACAAGTTTACTTTTTCGATATTGAAATACGAAGTAGGGCTCTTTCCGGACGGCGGGTCCGATCACCGACATGCCCCATGATCCATGGCTTCAGCAGTCCCGATGCACTATGCAATTGCTGGAATAATCGATACATAAGCGTCGAGCGATGTGGTCAGTAATCAGAGCAAAGCAGAAAGCCCAGCTCCAAGGTTTCCGCACCGAGTACCTCGGAATCTTCGCCGGATACATGTATGTATATTGCGTTTACGCAACGAACGCTTAAGCGTGAAAGTCCGAATGTCTTGAATCAGCTATGTGCTAGGATCCTCTCTGCAGAATCGGGGGCATATTCCATCGGCTGAAATCTGAGACAATCAAGTGTACCTATACTTCAACTGTGACGGATCGTGGATGAGGGATTCTGCGGTTTTCTTACAGACTTCCTCTTCAAAAGCCGAACCGACGGCGAGATGGTCCACTGATCGCTTGACGCTCCGTTTCTCGTGCGACTGCCGGCAATGAAGTGAATCAAAGTCTTTCCGTAACTCGGAGCGAGCGACCGTCAGTCGGTCGAGTGCCATCTGGCTGGCTAGCTAAATAGCAGGTACGCGGACGGGCGAATGATCCGGCGGTCGCTGCATACGGATATAACCAAAGTCTTTCTTCGGGTGATACTCGGGTAAAAGTGGGGTTTATTCAAATAGGCCGTTTCCGACAAACTTTCAATCACAGACGGGACCTGGTTCGACTCCGACTTCGCCGACGAGAAAAAGCGGAGCTAGCAAATGTTCGGCAAGCTTTCGACTTTTGGGAGGTCTTGCCTTCTCATTCTGTGCGAGCAAGAGGGTAAGGTGGCTGGAAGTCTACCCGCTCCTCCCAGAGAACGCTGTATTTATTAAGTAAGAGTTTTTGAGAGTCAATGGAAGGATACGGAGTTAGCGGGCCAAACTCAGATCTCAAGCGCGACTTCGTGTCTGCATGCCCCAAGATTGACAGAACGAGAAGCTGCATTCGGGACTTCGAATTGAAGCCCTCACATTTCTCCGACTGAGATTTGGTCAATATTCGCGAGTCGATCAGAGCTCGTACGGTTTCCACAGATTTCACGAAGTATCGATGAATGACTTCAATCGAACCTTCCGTTGTCGTTCGGGTCGGTGGCACGTTGAGTCCACCCTGGGCTCGAGGTGAGAGAAAATCCACCAAAGGCAAATAAGGACTCGTTCTCGATCCAGGGGATCGGAAATTATCCGGTGATCTCCCGGATGGGAGTGCTTGGCGGGATGGTGAACCTAAGGGGGCAGCGAAACCCGACGCCCTTCCGGAACTTCCAGGAGCCGCGGGGATTTTCACCAATAATTTTGGCTCTGCTTTCTGTTCCGTGTCGTCCACGTTCTTCCCAGAACAAATGCTCGCTCCAACGTGTGATACTCCTCAGATCTTCGGATGCAGCCAGGAGAATGAAGTTCAGGCGGAACAGAATCCCCTCGCTCAGCAAAGGCGTCGGGTCTCGCTGCCCCCTTGGGTACACCTTTTCGCCAAGCACTCCTCTTCGAGAGATCACTGGGTATGAGATTCTGATCCTCTGGATCGAGAATGGGCCAAAATTCTCTTTTCGTGAATTTGGTTGGACAGCATGAGATCC